AAGCTTATGGGGCTGTCACGTGATGAACGAACGACTCAAACCCGAAGACTCGAGAGATGAATTAATCAATTCTCTTTCCGGCTCAGACTGCATAGGGTAAACTTATGGGCTGTCACGTGATGAACGAACGACTCAAACCCGAAGACTCGAGAGATGAACTAATCAATTCTCTTTGAACAGGTGAACTACTTGACTAATTCCTATACAGAACCTATAGGATGTTGCGCATGCGCGACTGAACGAATCACTCCCCGAGACGACTCGTTCTTCCCGAGTCACATTAAAGATTTGTTCAAAATGAACGAATCGTTCAAGAACGACCCAACACTATAAGGCTCTTTCACACGGAACGCAGCGTGCGGTAAACCTGCGTGGCTCACGTCCGCCCCGTCCGCCCTTTGAACACAAGAGGCTCTCCAGATGTAGGGCTGAATGGGAAAGATATCAATGGGTCTGCCCAGTAACGAATGATGAACGCGCAGTTTGCAGAGAAGCATTTCAGTTGCTCACGGTGGACTGACTTAAAGGGACAGTTCACCCAAAAATGAAAATTCTGTCATCGTTTACACACCCACAAGTTGTTACAAACCTGTATTAATTTCTTTCTTCTGTTGAACATAAAAGAAGATACTTTGAAGAATGTGGGTAATCAAACAATTTCTGGTCCCCAGTGACTCCGATAGTATATTTTTTTCCCTACTATGAAAGTTACGGAGGACCAGCAGCTGTTTAGTTACCCACATTCTTCAAAGTAGTCTCTTCTTTTGTGTTCAACAGAAGAAAGAACTTTACGCAGGTTTAGAACAACCTGAGTAAATTATGACAGAATTTTCATTTTTGGGTGAACAGCTTGACTGACTTCTTCATTTCCACTTTAACCCTGGCTTAATATTATAATTTAAATCGCGTTTTGATTGGTCTAATTTCTGTATTTTAATAAATGCTGCATGAAACGAATTTCAGGGCTCTGTATAGGTCATTCATTACACATTAACATCTGCGACGTTTTAATTTGAAAGATAGTTTTACAGGGTTATAAAAATAACCTGAGAATAACCATAAGGGAAGTTCTCTAAGTTATTTTCAGGTTATTTAAAAATAACCACCCTGCAACGTTCTGGGAACGTTATTTTATGGTTGCAAAAAAATAACCTAAAAATAACCATTAGGGAACGCAAGTAGTTCGTAAGCTCTCCGTAAAGTAATGCGTAGTCAATATGACGTTTACCCTAAATCATCCAATAGAAACCTTCAAATACGCAAGCAGCAGGCACGTGCAAGAGGGGGGTGCGGTGGGTGCTTGAGCACCTGCCCCTTTTCCCCTTGATGCCCAAAGTGCCCTTTTGTCCACCTGACGATCTTTCACGTTCAGACACCTTTAGCGCGCTACCAGATGCCTTCAGTTGCCTTGTTCAAATACCCACACTTGCGGTCTTGGCCACTTGAGAGCGCGTGCGCGCGACAGGAAGTTAGTGCGCAAGACTGTCCCAAGTCTTCAAAACGCCAAAGCGCAGTGCCCTCAATGCACACTAAAGCCACACTATCTCGAATACACGGAAACCTTTCCAATGAAAGTTAAATATTAATATAATAATTAGATATTACATATAATTTGGTAGACTATGTCATGTTATAGGAACTACTGAACAGACATTTAGAAGCTGCTTTTAAAATACAAAGTATTTAAAATTAAAATAAGCCTATGTAAACACTTGCATTTTTACAACACTATAAGTGTGTCCCATCAGGTAATGAAAAGTTCTACACACACTCCATGGAAAAATATATTAAAACTAAATCAGTGATTCTGATAGTGTTTAGGCCAGCAGAGAAGGTTTTGCTGGCCCTGACGGCCCACCACTGTGTAAACTCAATAATAATAATAACAATATCAATAATATAAATCAGTTTCTAATTCCAGAGTAATTAAAAGGTGCAAAGAATATATTCTTTAACTTTTAAACTTAAAATGGTCTTTTCTGTTCCGAGCACAGCCCTATTAAAAGCCGTGTTCCATGTGCCCACACGGCCCTGGCGAGCAGAACTTGTTTAAATGCTATGAATTTTAATTTATCCTTCATTCTAACTTCTTTTGCCTCACGTATACTAACGGTAAAAACAAGTTTCCATTAAAAACGATACATTAATAACATTAGTCTATATGTAGGCCTAAGCTATTTTTATATGTAAATAACATTCAGAAACTGTAATTGAAATAAGGATCAATAAACACTGAAAGAAAGAAAAAACCATAAGAAATGCCATTTATTACTTATTTCATCTGACATGCGCAACACGGACCGAAGCGCACAGAGGCGCGCTGTAGATGGGGTGTTGAAGACGCGCTAAAAAAGAAAACAAAGTACGTTTATTCACATATTGTTCTCTCTCTTAATATGTACGTGAGTGTAAATGTCAGCAGCATCATATATGCCTAAAGGATTGCAGGTTGTCGGGTAAAAGAAGAGCATATTGATGCAGTTCACTCAGTCTGCTATTTTATTCCAACCGTTACTCCTGACCAGACGCTTCTGTAAATATTTTGTTTATACGTAGAGTTACACTTCAACCAAGTGTAATGGTGCAACGAAAAAATATTTAGTAGTGCGTTGTAATTTAGTGCCCATTTACGTCAAAACTAGGCTAAGTTGTAACTTACTGTACGTAATGAGCAGCTGTACACTGGTGCAACCGGCCCCAGGTCATCTGCCAATGCTATTTGATAAATAGGCCTACTGCAAGTTGAATTAATGTAGATATGTACACACACACACACACACACACACATAGGATTACATAGGCTATAGGTTTGCATGGATGACTGCCATTTAGTTGTCTGATGCTTAATCACAAATATCCTTGTTGGCCATGCCATCTGTCGTTGCAAATGGATACTGTGAATGAATAAATGAAGCAGAGAATGAATGAATGAATAAATAGGTAGATAAATAAATACAACAAACATACCTACATACATACAAACAAATAAATGTCTTTTTTTTTGTCATTGCAGGTATCGGCAATGATCGTGTGTCTCGAGTGGCAAAGTATTATGCACTCAACGCTATAGCCAGACCAGAATGCAGGGGTGGTGCTGGTAAGGTGGCTGAAAATTAGGCCAAGAAGCAGCTTGTGATGGATCACATCCATCAATAACATCAAATATAATGGGAACACGGCTTGGCCCAAGAAGAAGGACAGTATGCACAGTGAAGACCAGGAGTCAAAAATACATTTCATTGGCTGACAGAGAGTTTACTGAAGACTAAATTCTCCATATTTTCAAAGGTTGAAGAAATTAGTTTAAGGATCCAGTAGGGCTGCAAGATAATGGTTGAACAGTTAGTCTCAATTATTTTGCAAAACAAAATATAATCACGATTATTGTCATTTTAACTTTAATTTTGACCTGTTGCCAATGCAAGTTAATGCTAATACAAAATGAAAATGAGACATTTTCAGGATAAATAGCCAGTGGGCAAATATCACAGACATTTATGCTTCTTAAAATGGGAGAAGCATAAATTGTGATCATGATTAAAATACGATTCATGGTGCAGCCCTAGTATACAGTCTTTAAATAACTTAAAACACAGAAACCCTTGTATTTTACACAAAATCATCTGACATTATTCCTAAAATAATGTCAGGTAAGTTCTAAAGATTATCACAGGGTTAACAGTACAACAAATGCTCTGCCATTTGAGAATGATTTCAGCAAACAGCTAATTGATATTAACATTACTATGAATTCCCTTGTCCTTTTAGGTGAAAATAAGCTTACATAATGAAATGTTGGAAATAAGTATGTAAAATTATTTATTTGCCAAACAACAGTAATTTTTTGCAAATCTGTGCCAGTGACGGAGGGTTTTGAGTAAGCAGATCCGCAGAAGCTTTTGCGCCTCCGCTCTGTTGCTATACATGGTCATGATTGTTGCATTGGGCTGTTGGTCTGTGGGCCGTTTCATGTGAAAGAAACACTGGAAATCAGGTTCAGGTTGTATGGTTCTTGTGGGCCCTTATAAACCTCTGGGGCCTATGCACACCTTTTCCATTTAGAGAAAGACCATTTAAAATCCATTTCAAATTTACATGAAGACAGTGCCAAGCATCTAAAACTGGAGTGATAAGCTATGTCTTAGCTCTGGTTAATAGTGGTACTACAGAATTATAAAGTCACTCAACTGTTGTCATTTTCCCCCCATTTCATGGGGCCTTAAAAGACAAATACATGTACGATTTTTTTTCCGTTTCTATACGTATTTTATTAAACAAGCTAAAAGCTTTCAAGGAACAAGGAAATGACATCCAGAGGTTTTGAAAAAAAATGTCTTGTACAACAGCAATCTTACATTTGCAACAGATTAGCATGCATGAACAGTCTCTTCTGCTTTGAATTAGTCCTCTAGGATGGGTTCACAGCAGTCAGGGATCTTCACTTTCTAAAACGGTCAAGTGTTGACTTATTTCCCAACTTCTTTTCGTTGGACTTCTCTTTCAGCTCTTTCTCTCTTTCTGTTCGTTCTTGTACGGATTGCCGAATTTCGTCCTGCAGAATCACAATAGAGAGGAAGTGGTGTGAGCAGAGAGCAAATAAGAAACACTATACTGAGAGAGGCTTGTGTGTAAGTTAAACAAAGACTTTCTGCTCTCAAAAACCCTTTAAGTCTATGATATTCTGACCTCTAGATACAGCTTTGGTCCCTCCTGGAATACTGTCAAACTTTTAACTTGTTGTCCACTAAACATTTTATTCTGATTGTTTAAAGATGTTACATCTTCAATGTGAGGCATCATCATGTCTGTAGTACGAACAATGTGAGATGAGAGACAGAAGACAGAGAGAGAGAGAGAGAAAAGAAATACCCTCTGATCCTCATGGGCGACTTTTCTCTTTCTTTTCTCTATGGCACCAGCCGAGCTTCTTCCTTTCTTCTTTGTCTTTGGTTTAAATTTGACTTTTGCCAATGGATCAAAGCCCTGAAACAAAGACGAGACACAAAGTAAGAGCTAATGACACCAAACTGATGGATACATACTAGGGGTGTAATGGTACATGTATGGGGTCTTTCGGTTTGGTACGAGTGTAAATACAGCATTGTTTTAACCACTGCACGAGTGGAAATTCATTGGAAACTTGCAATTTTATATATGGTTACTTTTGATAAGAAACAAAGTCTCATCTTTTTTTCAGGAAATTCGAACAGTAAATGCCGTTTTGACACTCTTTGATGTGGCGAGACAGATCGCTGTACAAACACCTCAGTTCAAATGGCAGTGCGGAGCGCGAGTGAAGCGTGAGCATCCCTTCCGCTTTACTACTAGTTTTAATGTGAAGTAAACATGAATGAACATCTCATGCCTTATGTAATCGCTCAATCAGTGTTTCAACTGCTGAAAGACATCAATAAAACGGCTTGTAAACAAAATGTCATGTAGCATTTCATTTACCTCTTTATATTTTACTTAACCTGAATATATTTCAACAACTATATGGACCCTTTTCACAAGACTGTGATGACGCGTTTAACGGTCATCAGCATCGTAAATCCTCGAAAGTTTTTCATATTTGTATTTTTTTTTTAAATGTATGTACATTTATAACACTATTCTTTGTATTATATCACCTTTGCATCAAATTACAAAAAAAACAGTTAATGCTAACGCGAGGGTGTTTCTAATGCAGCGTCTATGGGAGGGACGGTAAATTTGACATCGTTCTCTCTTCTGGCTGCTGATATCAGTCTCTCTCAATTTTTTTCCTTTTATTGAAAGTCATGAAAACCCTATTGTGGAGTTTTTCTTTTGCTATTTGAGCAAATGCGAATGCAAAAAATATATTTGTGGTACTCTCCCATTCACTGCTCTTCAAGTTAACCCAACTATGACGACTTCCGCTGCTGAGAAACCCAGAAATGTGAAAAAGGTCCATTCAAACAAGTTAATTAAAAAACTGCATTATGTGCAATTTACATGTTTGCATAAAATTTTTTGAGTGTTGATTATTATATTAAAAAAATAATAATATGTATATAATATATATATATATAGTAAAGTATATATATTTCACCTGCCTGAAACTTTCTCAAAA